GTCTCTCATTATGATCCAGCCCATCCTTTATGCTTATTCTTTCCATGGCCCTCCTGAGGTGAGTCCCTGTTTAACAGGAAGAGGTGGATCAATCCAAAATAATGAGTATTCAGTCAGAGTAACAGTATTTCAGTAAAAAGGCCCTTATATATTTTTTAATCAAGGTAATTATTAAAGGATGGGATGGGGCAATGTGGAATATGAATTGTGTTTTCAGTAAGCTTACAGCCTGGATTAAATTAATATCCCAAAACACACACAAAATCCCCAAACCTGTTCCCCTTCTACTTGCCGAGCCACTGCTCCTGCCCCCCAACATCCACTGAATGTTTTACTCTGTTTCCATACACTTTTGCTTCGTCCACTTTGTAAGTCAGCAAGCCTCAGCCCTTCCAGATCATAATCTCTCACCAGCTGCTTGTTTTCAGTTGTTTAACTATTCAGTGAACAAACAAGGATTTCCTTAAGCTGACAGCTTTCCCATCAGACACATTGGAAGGAATGTGTCTGGTGGGAAACAAATGCAGGAGCTGCTGAAGTAACTTGAAGCTTCCTTGGCAGCATTTGTCAGAGGTCACACGTTATTTCTTCTCATTTTTGAGATACTTTTGTACAAGATAATTTGAAATTAAACATGGATAGCCATAGGAATCACTCTCTTGCATCCTGCACTTCAGAGAGCAGCTTATAACTCACTCCATGCAGGGATGCTCCAGGAGGCTGACTGCGATCTACAAGGTGTTTGCATGGACTGAGTAGCCTTTGGTGGAGTTATGTCTATACGGGCTGGGCCAAGCAAGCTGTTTGGCCAACTGTGAGGGTTAATACAGTTCTGAGGGCTTAGTGGCACCTTCAGAGTGCCCCTGCAGCCAAGAAGACCAACAGTTTCCTGGCCGGTATCAGCACAGCGTGGCCATCAGGGCCAGGGGAGAGATCATACCCCTGTACTGGGCACTGGTGAGGCTGCACCTTGAATCCTGTGTTCAGTTTTGGGCCCCTCACTACAAGAAAGACATTGAGTTGCTGGAGCAGGGCCAAAGAAAGGTAATAGAGCTGGTGAAGGGCCTGCAGCCCAACTGTGAGGGAGAATGACTGAAGAACCTGGGGGGGGTTCAGTCTGGAGAAGAGAAGGCTCAGGGGGGACCTTATTGCTCTCTACAACTGCCTGAAAGGAGGATGGAGCCGGGAGGGGGCTGGGCTCTGCTCGCAAGGAACAAGGGATGGGACAAGAGGAAACAGCCTCAAGCTGCACCAGGGGAGGTTTAGGCTGGATATTGGGAACAATTCCTTCCCCAAAGGGCAGTCAGGCATTGGAACAGGGCAGTGCTGGAGTCACCGTCCCTGGAAGTGTTCATAAACCGTGTAGAGGAGGCCCTCAGTGACATGGGTTAGTGGTGGCCTTGGCAGCCCTCGGGGAACATTTGGACTTGATGATCTTGAGGGTGTTTTCCAGCCTGGCTGATTCTATGATTTTGACTTTCCTTTCCCCAGCCAGTGCTTTTGGACAGCAGCAGTATTCTCCCTGACAGAATCCTACTGATGGATACTTTCTTCCAGATAGTTATCTACCTTGGTGAGGTATGTTGAAACACATTCTTTCTCTGTTTGCACACCTTTGCTCCTGCCAGGCATGCAGACAGCATCACTGCGAGTACCAAATAAGCTGCTTGCAAAGTCCACACTAACATAATGACATTGCATGTGTGCTGCTGGTTTTAATACAATTTCCCTCCCCAGTGTCCTAACAAAAAGTCCAACTGCAATTGCTAAGGATGTGTTGTTCACTGAGGTACAGCTCTCATGCTAGTTTGGTGTCCTGTTTTGTGATGGGGTAGAGTTAATTTTCTACCTACTTCCAAGTATCCATTACCAGGACACTTGGTAATGAAGGTGGTGCCTACCATACCTGGTAAAGGTCAGAAAAGCTTGGAAGCAAGCAGGGCAGAGAGCTGCAGTTTGCTATGTAGATACAGTTTGATTTTCAGCTAAGTGGTGTACTTGGTTACTGGGTTTTGACACTTAAATACTGCTGCTCTTAAAGAAATGGGTTATGGATTTTTCCAGGTTTTGCTTTTAAACACTGGGAAGCATTTTAACTCTTCCCTTTGTTTTTGAACTGAGCTAATTCACTCATATTTAACAATTGTTATTAGGATACTTGAAGTTGGGCATGCTAGTTTGTGGCAGCTCCATTATTAGCTCCTGACTTCATTCCATATGGGATTCGTTCCCTTTGAGAGGTGTGCAGGGATACCTGATTGACATGAAAGGGAGTTGAACACTTGAGTCAACAATGACAAAGAGTTACCTTAAAGAGTTTCTACACATTGTTGGAGAGCAAGACACTCAGCAAATGACAGACACTAAATAATGTCATTGCCAGAGGTAGTGAAAAGTGTGCGTTCTGCTGCCTTAAAGCATGCAGGTTAAAAAGGGGAGGCTTGCAGACATCTCTACTAGTTTTATACCCCCTCCCTGTCCTGTCAACAGACTATTGCACAGTGGCAGAAAGCTGGTTACCAAGAGATGCCTGAATATGAAAACTTCAAGCACTTATTACAAGCCCCACTGGATGATGCCCAGGAAATCTTGCAGACCAGATTCCCAATGCCACGTTACATCCACACGGAACATGGGGGCAGTCAGGTAAGGAAGTTTATTGAGAAGCTCTTTCTGTTGTTGAATAGAGCAAGTAGATGTCTTTCTGCTTTACTTTAGAAGGATGGTTAAGTTAAATACAGTGGTAATTTAGCTCTTTGAAGTACAGAGCTTGCATATTTTCTGATGAGCTTTTACTACAACTTCGTCCTTTAATAGGACAATCACTTGCTGGATATGCTTTTGAAGTATGAGGATGGAAAAAAAAACCCAAAACCCCCAAAAGCCAGGTTAAATATCTTTTTATTCTGCAAAGAGATGGGAAAGAAATGCTTTGGGTATGTATCTAAACTTACCCAAGACAGGAGTGCAGTTAGCTTTCAAGGACAGTGTGACCATCTGTTCCTTTAGTCTCCAATGCCAAGTGCAGATATAAAATACTTCCTATTTTTACTCTTCCTGGAATTACAGTTGTGCTGTGCTTGTGTGTGCCTGGTTTGTTTGTAGCAGTGAAGAGACAGGGAATGATGCTCTGAAACAAAGATCTGGTATTCACTTTTGATGTGACCTTGTTACGCTGTTCCCACACTGACCTCTTTGCTGAAGAGCAGACGGGGGCACGTGAGGGACAGTGCTGGTGACATGCCTGTGTCACAAGTGAGTGCCCCTTGGAGACAAGTTGTCTGTGGAGCAGGGCTGTTTCTGGACTTAAACCCCACTTATGTTAAATTAGTCCTTTGCTTGCAAAAGCAGAGGGGCATCACTAGTCATGGACCTAAGGCAGTAAGAAGTCTTGAGTGCTGTCAATTTACATCTTACATTTACCTCTCTAACATTTTGTCTTAATAGGCCCGGTTCCTCTTGTCTAAAGTGAACCCTTCTCAGACCCACAATAACCTCTATGCATGGGGACAGGTAAGCAATGGAAGAGCTTCTCATGTTTAGAACACTGTAAAATAATGTACATTTACAGATATGTCTACATAGCCAACCCAATTCACCACATGGCACAAACCACGAGCAGGTTACATCTGTTCTCTAGTTCTTACCTAAGAGCTTTTGCTGAAACCTGACTGGATCTGAAGATTTTACAGGGCTTTGCAGTGCAAAGAAACAAGGTTATTTCTGCGTGCTAAAGGATCTGTAATGGAGTAACCAGCTTAGGAGGTTAGATTTTTATGCAACTGGCAAGGTAAACAGTGGCAGGAGAAGAGTGGTGTCCACAAAGAGTGCTCTGCCCCTTTGGTATCCCTGTATCCCAGCTACATGTGGGTCACAGGCAGACCAGGAGCATTTTCTGTGGTGGCTGCTATTGAAGTGAGCTTCTAATTTGATGTACAGTATGTTCTTAGAGGTTTCAGATGACCTGATGAAAAAATCTACCTGTACACTTCCCCTATGACTTAAAACTCTTAGGTCACACTGTATTTAGCATTCTGGAGAGAGTACCTTGAATACAGATACATACAGGTGTATTTTACCTGAGAATACTAGATTTTATATCCTCTTTACCTTGTTTTGGGCAGCAAAATTCCTAATGCTTTAGAAAGAGAAGACTTCCTTTTGGGGATTGCACTAGAGGACAGTGTCAGAACTGCTGCCAAAGAGCAGCATCTTCCCTCTTGCCATCTGTCCTTTGCAGGGAATTACTTCAGAGTGCTGACATCTGATTTGCTTTCAGTTAGTCATTCTTTCTTTATGTGTCTGCAGGAATCGGGATCTCCAATCCTGACGGATGATGTGAGTCTCCAGGTATTCATGGACCACCTCAAAAAGCTGGCAGTTTCCAGCGCAGCGTGACTTTGGTCAAACCCAGAAGCAAGAGCAGAAGTTACATAGATCATGTGGATAACGGAAATGGAGCGATTCGTTTTACATTTCCTTTTATCTCTCTTTTAAAGGTTTTTAAGTATTAAATGAAACTAATATGCAGGGAGAGTTTTTTACTTGGCCCTTCTAGATATTAATTTATTTGTATTCCTTTTTGTCTCTATTCACTCCACATTTTTCATCCACTGTAATTACAGATAGATGACGCTTTATCCAGTACATATTTTAACAGTCTTTATCTTGATTTGTAACCGTGCGCATTCTTAGGTGTCTTTTTAGCAGCCAGGGCCTGTATTAATTAAAAATAAAACCGGGTGAGAGCATTACTGTTTAGTGCGCCCCCCAGTTCAGCTGTATGCTTGGCCTATCTCCTTTCTGTTTGTGAACACGTTAACTGGGGTACGTTTGTCCTGCTGGAAACAAGGAGCGCAGATCTCCACCCTCGCTATCCCCCTGCCGCCATCTTGCTGTCTCCCCACCCGCCATCTTGGGACCGCTCCCGCCTTGCAGCCCGGGCGCATGCGCGCACCGGCGCTCTCCGCCCCGCCGTGCCTGCCGCCCCATTGGCGGCAGGGCCCGACCAGTGAGGGAGGGTGTTGCTATGGCCGGGAGTAAGTTGCGGCTGGCGGTGTGGAACGCGCGCGCGGCGCTGCTGTACTCCCTGGGCGGCTGGACCATGCTGGGAGGCATCCTGCACTACACCAAGAACCGCGACGCCGGCCAGAGCGGGGACGCCTCCGGTACGGGCGAGCCCAGCACCGAGTCCGGGGACCCCGGCTAGGGTCACTTCGGCGGGGCGTGGGGCGGTTGCGGTGCGTGAGGTGGCCGAGGGTGGGCCTAGCAGAGGGGCGGGGCTTGGAGGAGGGGGCAGCGATTGGCTGAGGGAGTTGGCCGGGGACGGGGATTGGCTGAGGGAGTCGGCTGGGGGCGGGTCTCGGGCACCCTCCGTGACCCTGGGTAAGACACTGCAGGCAGGGGGGCCTGCCAGTCCTCGTTTCGGCTGTTCCAGGGGCAGAGGCCGGTCGGGTGCTGCCCGCCCGGCTCTTGGAGAGATGTGGTTGCCGGGTGCGAGGGCTGTGCCTGGGGCGATTGAGCTGTCAGGGCCCAGCAGGGTGCCCGGTGTGAGCCCAACGGTTCCTGGCATGCCGAGGAGGATCGACCTGAGGGAAGCGAAGTCTCGCGTTGAGGGGAAAAGCGTGTGCTTCGTCGCTTTATTTGCAGTGTGGCAATGGTTCAAAGCTGCACCTGGGGACGTTCAGACGGGGCATCAGAAAACATTTATTTATAGAGAGGGTGGTCGAACTCTGGAACAGGCTTCCTGGAGAGGTGGTCGATGCCCCGGATCTGTCAGCGTTTATTTGGGCAATGCCTTTAATGACATGCTTTGACATTTGGTCAGCCCTGAACTGCTCAGGCAGTTGGACTAGGTGATCATTCCCTTCCAACTGAAATAGTCTTTCCTTTCTCATCCTTCCCTTGCGCATCCTTTCCCATCCTATCAGCTCTGTGTTGCTCAGCATTCTGCTCCTTATTAAGGTGTAGTAGCATGGAGGTAGCTGTAATGTGGATAAGCTGGAGGCTGTTTGCAATTCCTGCTACTGTAGTACCGATGTTAGTCCAGCACCAGTGCAGCAGTGTAACTTACCCTAGTGAATCCTTTTTTCTATCCATACAGTCAGCAGATCCTTGCTGTCTATTTCTCACACGTTGATAATAAGCGAAGAGAAGCCCATATGGCTGCTGTTTGCAATGATGAAGGGATAAAATGTTTTAATTGCTATGATCTTTTTTATTATTTTTTTTTTCTTCTCCTCTTATTCCTTAGAGAATAAAAGTGATCCTCAGGCAAAACCAGCACTCAGGCAGGAAATATACACAAGAGAAACAGCTTTAGGATTTACAGTGACAACAGTAGTAACACACAGGGAAGTTGAACCTCCCATTACTCAACTGCTCAGGCGTGTGAAGTCATACTTTTATCCTGACGACAGCCCTCCTCCCGAAAACTGAGCAGTCTGCAAGCTCAGGACTTTGTGCTGGTACCTCTGAGAGTCACCCTGGCACCAGCCCGTCAGTGGAAGACTCTTCTGCATGGCTGATACGACAGCTCCATCTGGGACACAGCTCGACAGGACTTGTAGGCTTTGCTCGGATCATCACAGGCCTTTGCACGTGTACCGAAGTTGCTAACCGTGAACTGTGCCGGGAGGTGTGGATGAGGCTGGTTGTCACCTCAGTGTGCTGTGGCCAGCGGTCTGACCAGGTGGCCCTGGTGGCTTTGCTTGTGAAGTTGATTTGTGTGCAGGATGTACCTGTACCCAGGATGGCTCCTCTGATCACCTCTGAAATGGATGATTGAAAGATTAGTAAATGGGAAGGAACGTGGTTTAATCTTTCTGGTCCGAGAGTTGTTAATCATCCTTCAAATAAAAACTTCCAGGAGATGAATTACAAGTGCAGAAATACTGATGTAAGCTGAAAACTTGCCATGTTTTCTGCTCCAGGCCCTTTTTTCTGTAGGGGTTTCACTGATCCTTATGCATGCTGCCTCCCCTTGGTAGGGTACTGCTGCCCAACACTGTGGCTGTAACTCACTCCCATTCTACAGGGTTAGATCCTTATGGACATTGCCTCCTTCCCTTTAGGAATCTGCTCCTGGCTGCTGTTTCCTGCTGGTGTTTTTCCCAGCTTCTCCTGCTGCTGACCCTTGTTGCTACAGGGGCTCCCTGTAGGGGCTTCTACCACCTATAGGGGCTGCCCCCAGCCCCTGCTCTCCACAGGGGCTCGCACCCGTCCCTATGGACATGGAATCCCTTTTGAGGAGGCTGACCCAAGGCTCTGCACACACACGGCTTCCTTTCTTAGGGGCTTTCCCCTTCAGACACCTCTTTGTTTCTGTGGGGGCTGTACAGCCACTTCTGAGTCTGTCTGTCAGGTCTACCCGCAGCCTTGCAGATGTCACTGCATGGGAAGTTGTGAGCACCTCTGCCCGTACCCCCACCTTCTGTGGGAGCTTCTGTCCCTGGCACAGCCACCATCTTTTCCAGAAGGCACTATCAGATTCCTGTGTGCCCCCCTCCTGTTCCTATAGGCATCCCTATAGAGGACACCGCTCCCTACGGCAAGCAGCGAGGGGATGCTGCAACAGCACCTCCCAGCCGACAGGGGGCACTGTGAGCGGCGCGGTCCGGCCCGGCAGGGAGCGGCCGCCGTTGCCTGGCACCGCCGCCTTTTCCCCGCACCGGTAGGGGCGCCGGGCCTGCGCTTCGCGGCCGCGCCGCCATGAAGGCCATCGTGCAGCGGGTGGCCCAGGCCAGCGTCACAGGTCAGTGTGCCGGCACCGGGGGGACAGCGGCGGAGGGCGGAGGTTGGGGGGGGGTCGCGGGTGGGCCTCCTTCCGCTGCCGCGACGCCCCAGCGCCGTCCGCTCCTGGCCCGTCTCCCGCTGCCTCCCACGCCGGCCTCACAGGCGGGCTCCCTGCCCACACGCAGCCGCCCTCCCCCAGCGCGGCTCGGCTTGCTCGTTGTCCCCGGTGTGTGCCGGCAGTGTGGCGCTTGTGTCGCCGAACCTGTGTAAGGAGAGCTGGCTCCTTGCGTGGCGTGTGCGGGAGCAGTCGCCGACTTGTGTGGCTTTACACGCGTTGACGCTACGGTCGCAGGCGTCTTGCGGTCCTTGCATGTGTTTGCAGCGCAGTTGTAGCCAGCTTCTGTGGCTTGCACGTGTCGGGCGCTGTAATTTACCTCTTTGCATTTATTCCGTGTGTCGCCGGTGTCATACCATTGCCAGGGATGTGGTTTGCAGGCCTTGGCACTAGTTGCTTTCTTGCATTGCTGTCGTGTGCTGGTACTTCAGTCGCAGTCGTCTTGTATTGCTTGTGTGTGCTTTTGCCTTTGCCCATGGTTTGCCTTTATAATGACAGTTTCTTCCTTGCATGGCTTGCGTGCACTGCTGTATGGCTTGCATGTCCCTCCTATTGCACTGGTTGGAGCGTGTGTTCAAGATGCTTAATATTCCCCAAGATGTTTACGTGGGAGTCCTGCATCTGCTTTCAGGAGTAGGAAAGTGATCATCCCCCTGTACTGGGCACTGGTGAGGCTGCACCTTGACTCCTGTGCTCAGTTCTGTGCCCCTCACTACAAGAGAGACATTGAGGTGCTGGAGCAGGGCCAGAGAAGGGCAATGGAGCTGGTGCAGGGCCTGGAGCACAAGTGTGATGGGGAACGGCTGAGGGGTTGGGGGGGGGTTTAGTGTGGAGAAGAGAAGGCTCAGGGGGGACCTGATTGCTCTCTACAACTGCCTGAAAGGAGGATGGAGCCAGGAGGGGGCTGGGCTCTGCTCCCAGGGAACAAGGGATGGGACAAGAGGAAATGGCCTCAATCTGCACCAGGGGAGGTTTAGACTGGATATTGGGAACAATTCCTTTCCAAAGGGCAGTCAGGCATTGGAACAGGCTGCCCAGGGCAGTGCTGGAGTTACTGTCCCTGGAAGTGTTCACAAGCAATGTAGAGGAGGCCCTCAGTGCCATGGGTTAGTGGTGGCCTTGGCAGTGCTGGGTGCATTTTATGTGGGTGGATTTTATGATCTTGAAGGTCTTTTCCCACCCAGCCGACTTTATGTTTCTATGAAATAACTCACGACATCAGGAAGACTTGAAAGGGGGCTTCTCTACGATCTCCTCTAAAAATCTTAAGACAGAGAAGAAGGGTTTAGAATAATGTTTTCTCTGGTGATTGTACAGTTGCCAGCTGACACCAGTATCTAATCTGTGTCATAACCCAAGACAGTGCATTTAGCCTCACTCTTCTTCCCCTCCCCTTCCCCAGTGGGTGGTGAACAAATAAGTTCGATAGGACGAGGCCTCTGTGTGCTGCTGGGCATTTCCTTGGAGGATACGCAAAGAGAGCTGGAGCACATGTAAGTCATGTTTCCTTTTACCTTGAACTCTTTTATTTGTGTATTTCTCACACTGAATCAGTGATACCTGTGCAGTAGCCGAATAAATGGGGTGCCTGTTGGGAAACTCAGGTTTGCCTGTTAGTCCCTCTTCATATTTTACCTTGAATACTGGTTTCTTTCTGTGTTCCATTGAGAAAAATCTGTTTCATTCCCTGTTTATGTGTTTTACTTTATTGGGAACAGGCTCAAAAAGGAAGAATCAACATATTTGGCTTTTCTAATCTCCCTTTTTAAAATGTCTTTCCTCTTTACTGTACAAATTTACCCAGAGGGAGTAAATCCATTTCTCAAGGATGGGCTGTATCAGGAAGATCAACTCTCATTTTAGCTTGCACATAGGAAGTTCTGTTCTTCCTAAAGGCTGGGTAGTCTTCTCAGTTTCATTTCTGTAAAAGTGCATCAATTTTGGCAGGCTGGAGGACTGGCTCTGGCCATCTGTTCCATGGCCACAGAATATGGTGATTCAGCCAGCAAACACATGCAAGAGAGAGTTCTCCTGGGGCTGCTTCTGCCTCCTTCAGACATTGTTCTAGGGCTGACCTCAGTTCTTATGAAGGCAAAGAAGAAACGGGTAATAGAGCTGACTGATGTCAAGAAGAGGAAAGGCTCAGGCAATGAAGAGAGAAGAATGTGAGGGTGAAAACAACCCTTGGCAGATGTGGAAGAGAGAATGGGGATGTGCTGAAGGTGTATATGTTATGACATGCTCCATTGGCTTGCCTTACTGTGAGCTTCTGTCATCGTTTCTCATTCCCACTTTGGTGAATGTGAAAGGTGCTTCTGAATGTTGCAAGCGGGTGACCAGTAGCAGCTGTACTCTCAGCACCAGGTTGATTGGATGACTGACACAGGAAAGGCAGGAAGCCAGCAGCTGAAACAGGAATGAGAGGAATCAGCTTAACTTTTCAAGTCCTATTAAAGGAAATATCAGTAATCCTGTAAATGAAACACAAACATCTTTATCATTAGAACACAGCAGTGCCCATGATCTAAGCCTGTGCACTGGGGCCTGCCTTCCAAGGCTTTTAACCATTCACTTCATGCAGGAGTTAATTCGTTTGTTGCTGACACACACCGATTGACAAGGCTGGTTTTTGTGAGTGTGCCTTACAAAGCCCTGAAGCTACACCATAACGAAGTCTTAGTTTTATTTTATACTGTCTCCCTGCTGGTGCAGCCTAAAATGTCTGGCTAACAACTGCAGTTGAAATGCTTTGCACTTCCTGTGCTCCCTTTGTAGTTACTGCAGATGTGGACAAGCTACAAGAAGAAACAAAGACAGGAGAGCAGCAGGCATGCAGGGTTATTATCAGTCAAAGTCTAACCGTAGACTGTGTTGCAAGTCTGCTTGCTGCTTTGCAAGTTCTATTTATGAAAGTCCTCTTATTCTCTGAGTGTTCAAGCCACTGAGCCCTACCTCCACAAATCAGCCCTAATACAATTTCATAGGACAAGTCCCAGTCATAACTTTGCTGCACCTGTGGTTCTGTGCTGCTCCCTGCCTTCCTCCTCTCTTTGTGATGAAGAAGTACTGTCCTCACATGGCTTGTGGGCCTGGTTTGGAGAGAGTGCTAGGAGGTAGCAAAGCTGAAGGAGTACACGTGAACATATTTGGAGACAACCCTGGTTTAGGATGATCTCATTTCATACTGACTGTGGTTTCCCAGCCTGGTGGGAGGGTTAAAATTCTCAAAGATATTTGCATGTTCAATAATGTTGTGGCACACAAACTCAGGTAGCAAAGAGTGAGCTTTCCTACTTCCTATGGCGTCTTTATGTTATGCTGTAACTTGCAATTATTCTGTCCTGATCTCATGCCCTATGGTCTGACAGTAATGGTCTGACAAATGTGTTGTCTGTAAGGACCTTCTTGGTTATGGCTCTGCTGCTGGGGAGGGACTCTTCATTAGGGACTGTAGTGATAGGACCAAGGGGTAACAGGTTCAAACTTAAACAGGGGAAGTTTAGATTGGATATAAGGAGGAAATTCTTTCCTGTTAGGGTGGTGAGGCACTGGAATGGGTTGCCCAGGGAGGTTGTGAATGCTCCATCCCTGGCAGTGTTCAAGGCCAGGTTGGACAAGGCCTTGGGTAATATGGTTTAGAGCAAGGTGTCCGTGCCCATGGCAGGGGGCTAGAACTGGATGATCTTAAGGTCCTTTCCAACCCTAACTGTTCTGTGATTCTGTGATTCTAATGTGACGAGATTCCTGTGATTTAGAAAGGGAGGGACAAAGGGATATGTTGTGTGGAGGCAAAACGAGTATACATCTGTGTTCTCCTTTATCTCATGCTGTGTGATAGGCATGAACTTGTACCTGTTGATCCTATATGAGACAATTTATAAAGTATCATTTTCTCCATTTAGGGTTCGAAAGATCTTGAACTTGCGAGTATTTGAAGATGAAAGCGGGAAGCACTGGTCCAAAAGCGTGATGGACAAACAGTATGAAGTGTTGTGTGTGAGCCAATTTACTCTCCAGTGCATCCTGAAAGGAAACAAGCCTGACTACCACATGGCAATGCCCACAGAGCAGGCAGAGTGTTTTTATAACAACTTCCTAGAGCAGCTAAGAAAAGCCTACAAGCCAGAGCTTATTAAAGGTAAGGGAAAGAGGTTGGTGAGGGCCTTGGTGTGACCAGTGGACCTTGTTTGTGTGCGCTCTTCCCTGATCATTACTTTCTTTATTCTGTGATTTTCTGTTTACCTTGCAGAGGAGCTGCCTTTATCTGGCAGTAGATGAGGGGATGTTATGGCATCTTTACTAAGCAGCCCAGCAGGGTGTTCATTCCTGTCTTCCTCTAGCCAAGCTGCTTCCTGACACACAGATGTTCTTATATTGTCATTGGCTGTACAATGTGGCCTGGGTTCAGCAGTAGCAGTCATTTTTCTCTTTCCTAGTAGCTGCTGCAGTGCTGTGGTTTTGACTTTCAGCCTGGGAGCAGCGATGATAACACCGATGTTTTTAGTTGCTGCTCAGTAATGTTTACTCTGACCAAGGACTTTCTGAGTCTCATGCTCTGCCAGGGAGGAGGGGAGGCCAGGAGGAAGCAGAGACAGGACACCTGATCCAAACTAACTAAAGGGGTATTCCATACCACAGCACATCATACCCAGTATATAAACTGGGGGCAGTTACCTGGAAGGGCTAGATCACTGCTTGGGTTGTGCTGGGTATTGGTCGGTGCGTGGTGAGCGGCTGTGTTCTCTTCCCTTGTTATTCCCTGTATTATTATCATTGGTGGCAGCAGCAGTGATTTGTGTTATACCTTAGTTACTGGACTGCTCTTATCTCAACCCGTGGGAGTTACATTCTTTTCATCCTCCTCCCCATCCCTCCCGGAGCCTGGCAAGGAAGAAGTTGGGGGGGGGAATGGGTGAGCATCTGCCTGGTTCTGAATTACCAGCTGGGCTTAAAGCACGGCACAACATGACACAGAGAGGCTGCAGCCATGAGAATAAGCTCTGTGCCTCTCAGGTGGTGTGCTAATAAATGCCATTGATAACAAATGACAGACGTTTCTGATTCAGCAATGTACTCCTGTGAAGTAGGCAGGATTGGGGCAGTAGGTGATGTCTGTCTTTCCACCCTTTTGGCTAGACTCTCTCAAAGAATGATCTGGGTTGCAAACAGGAAAGAAGAAGGAGCTGTAGCATGTTGGGGCTGAGCTGCACACCCTGCTTAAGAGTATTCAATGTCAAATGCTCCAGAGAAGGCTTCAGGTCATTTTATCTTCTGCCAATATATAAGATTTCCTCAAAGCATCAACTGGTTAGCTGGACTGGATCGCTGGGCTTAGCTGTTACCTCCTTTAATATACCATCTCCTGCCTGCAAGAACTGTCCTGCCTATCCTGAACTGTGAGAACCTTCATTATCTGGAGACTTGGTTTGTTTTGTTGACATTTCAGTACCTAGGATTTATGATCTCAGTGTCAGACCACACAGCTACGTGCATGTACACTGGTATTTTTCTTTGTAGGTTTCTGCAGTTTGTTAGTTGGATGTGCTTTTGTGCATGTTTTTTTTTTGGTTCTTTTTAGTAGCACACGTGGTAAAGATTTTGGTATGTGTTACCCTTCCAAGAGCCATAAGCACTTCTTGTATCTTCCCTTTGCAGATGGCAAGTTTGGGGCCTACATGCAGGTCCACATCCAGAATGATGGTCCTGTAACAATAGAATTGGAGTCCCCAGCTGCTACTGTTGACCCTAAACAGGTAAGTGAGTGTGTCCAGAGGAGGCCACAGAGGTGCTGGAGAGGCTGGAGCACCTCTGCTCTGGAGCCAGGCTGAGAGAGCTGAGCTTGTTCAGCGTTGAGAAGAGAAGGCTCTGGGGACACCCTAGAGCACCTTGAGTGCCTAAAGGGGTGATAAGAAATCTGGAGAGGGGCTTTTGACAAGGGCCTGTAGGGACAGGACAAGGGGGAATGGCTTTAAACTGACAGAGGGGAGACTGAGATGAGACATTAGGAAGAAATTCTTCCCTGTGAGGGTGCTGAGGCGCTGGCACAGGGTGCCCAGAGAAGCTGTGGCTGCCCCATCCCTGGCAGTGTTCAAGGCCAGGTTGGACACAGGGGCTTGGAGCAACCTGCTCTAGTGGAAAGTGTCCCTGCTTGTGGCAGGGGGTTGGAACTGGATGAGCTTTAGGGTCCCTTCCAACCCAGACCAGTCTGGGACTGTATGATTCAATGATGTAATGTCCCCCAAACTTACTGCAACCTGTTTCTCTAGAAAATGAAAAACACATGACAGCTGTTGCAACTTAATTTGACTCGTAGTAGCACAGAAAAGCGTTACTTCTGCGAGGTTGCAAAGCAGTGTTAGCTGAGGGCTTTGTCCAAGCTGATTTGAAATGGTTATTCTGTATCCTAGGTGATGCTAAGGGTCATATGTCTATTTTTCTTTGGATAAAGACTAAAATAAGTTTATTCTTGTGTGCTGGATGACTGAACTTGGGATACATCTGTTGTTAACAACTTTGAAACTACAAAACTGCCGCGTAAGGCCCAAAACAGAAGAGAAGCTTGGTGGAATCCAGCTTTCCCTTTTGGTCCTTGTGTTTTATTCTTTCTCACATTTGCAGACTGTGTTGGGTGAAGGAATCCTGGAAAGCAGAGGGTAGTCCTTTGAATATGGGCACTTCTGCCTTATACTCAGGGGTGATCGTGTTGGCAGATGATGATAATTCACTGTGTTATCCAGATTTCTGAAAATGTAAGCCTTGAGCTTTTTGGGTTTTAGTTTTTCCTTTCTGTTTTCTCGATGTCAGTGTGAATCTGAGTCACAAGTTGCGTACAAATGCTCACATTTGCGAGCTTTTAGAAATAGTCTTCTGAAAGAATTTTATTTCATGAAGTGTTTTCTTGCTCTCTTTCGTGAATAGCTGACGAAACTTGAAAAACAGCAACAAAGAAAAGAGAAGACCAGAACCAAGGTGCCCTCTGAGTCAAGTAGAGAAAGAAATGTTCCCCGGAACAAGGATGATCCCAGTGCAAGCAGCGGAGCAGAAGGAGATGTGTCTTCGGAAAGGGAGCCTTAGCTCATCCAAAGCAGGCCTCAGGTTTGGCTTTTCCACTTCTTCAGATAGCTGTGTCCTACTGCTTGGCAGTCTCTAACCCTGGGTGCTTTACTGAAGCAGCACATGCAGAGAATTGCATTAGGAATACTGAAAGGTGAAATGCGGTAATCTTGCTGGTGGCTAACCTCTGCTTCTGCAGTTGGCACACCAGAATGTAGAAGGGGGTGGAAACCTTTTCCCATCTATGTGCTTGCTTGAAGGTGTGTATCTGTGAGCCTGGCCCAGCCACCACTGTCTCCAGGTTGACTCAGGAAATCTAAAATTGTGGTCTGATAGCACAGCAGTGGCTTAACTCTAAATCCTGCTTTGTGTTCTTCATGGTTGTGTTTCTTTCTCAGTCTTTACGTATCAAGCAGGTTATTCTGGAACAGTCCCCATTTATAATTATCATTTGTAAGGCCCAAGTAACACATAATGGAAATGGAAAATATGGCAGAAATTTGAGACAGGCCAGAACTGCAACTTCATATCCTGGTTCCTACCCCTCCTTAGTTTGTTCTTTCCCAGGGTGACCGAGAACAGGCTGTTTCATATACCTTCACCATCTGAGGAGCACATTAGACCAGGCATTGAGAGCCAGACTTTCTGCTTGAATTCAGTATGAGAACTGGGATTTTCTCTCCTTTCAGGCACTTGACCTGCAGGACATGCCTGGAGATCAGTGAATAGAATTAGATCGAATCCTGTCATGAATTATGTAGATATGTAGATATGTATTTACCATACTCTTCCAGTCAGTTTTAAGTCTTCAGGACAGAGCTTTCATTACTTTCCTTCTCCCCTCCTCAGCTATATTGCTGAGTTTGATCTTTCAAACATGTCCAAGCTCTCAGGAAAGTATTATTTCCCTCATCTGCACAACTGAAGCCCTGAGTTGGCTATGCAGTTTACTTACTAACACCTTTGCAAGGTTAAGGTCTAACCTTTCTTTCCTTTTCCTGCCCCTAGAGTTCAGTCTGGCCTGTGATTTGTACCATTCAGTATCTTGCATTGCTCAGAAAGTTGCTTTAAAAAAAAGAGAATCCATCAATTTCCCTGGTGGTCAGACACTGGGGGCTGATTTCTGTTTTGTAGGAATTCATGTTACCTGTATGGTACTAATGTAAATGAGTTTGTATAAGGCATTGAATAGATTCCATGACATTTGGTTTGGATTGACCTGGAAAAGGCATCGAAGAGACTTTCAAATCCACAGGCTTCTCTCTCTGGCCTCTTGAAGAGCAGCTTCAAGACTGGAGTGAAACGGTTCCATTTATTAACTGGGTTGTTGCAGTTAAAAGTGGATTGTTGTATCAAACAGCAGCTGGAATCACAAGTTCTGCTCTCTTTGGCTTTATGCTGGGCACACCTGGCTGTGTGCTCACTGGACGTGAGCAGGCATATAGGGAAGAAGAACATGTTATTAGGAAGTGAAGCAAGGATGTGCTCTTTCTCAGCAACTGTTGGCCTTGCTGCTGTGCTATAGGAACATGAGGTTCCTCCCCCGCACACACACCTCATTTCTATGTTGTGTATTGAAATAAGAACATTGTGGAGAGCAGGAGTTTGCAGAGTTGGTGTCCTTCAGTCATTATGACCTTTCCAATAGCATTTAAAATTCTGGAGAGCTGAACAGATCAAAAATATGATACTGATAGCCTAGCGTTCATATGCATGCTGTGGCAATAAGTAAAGATACTTTCCTCCATAGGATTTGGAGGAATCCGATTCTCTTTCTACTCTACTTATAGTAATGTTCCCGTTTGTTTGCCTTCCACAGTTTCTCATACAAAACCTACACTGGATTCTTGAAGAGACCCAACCTTCACCTCAGCACCACTCTTCAATGACTTTGGAAAAGAATGGAGAACGGGAAAACAGAACTAAGACATTAGAAACCTGTATCATTCTGTATTGAAACAACCAAAGCAATGCTCTCAGATCCAGTTGTTAACGTGTAGTATCAGTAGTAAAAAGGACTTGTAACATTTTTGTGTATGTGTTTTCACATGACCGCTGAGTAAGGGATGACTATAGGCAGCTTGTAGCAGAACATTTACTCTCAGTACATAAGCTCCATTTCAAAAAGAAATCAGGGTTTTTCCTTAAACTTACACTTGAATTCTGAAGATTATCCAGGCAGGCTTGTATATTGCTTCTCACTCCGTGGTGTCATGTGCGACCTGTTTTCATGGCAGCCTGTAAATCTGTGTATATTTTGTATGTTGTCCAGCTGCTACGTAACACCAGGGTAGGCAGTCCAGTCTTTCTGCATGGATTAAGTTATTAAGAGGAGAGATCAGCTGCTACTTGTTTATTCTGTGGAGCACATCTGTCTTGTAAACTTTTTCTAAGAACAGAAAAGACTTTATTAAACAAATGATGCTAGATGTGTGCCTGTTGGTGTTTGTGTATTGCGTTCCCTCAGATAGAGCCATGTGTGTAACAGTGTGTGACACGAAGCAAAGGTTACAAGCCAAGAAACACCTACTGATGTAACACATCCATATCTCCTTTGGAAGTCAGGTTGCTGACCTGAAATCTTTGCTTTTTCCAATACGTCTGAGTCCTTTAGTTCTTTATGGTGGCCATCAAAATGCTCCACATATAGCTGCATGATGTGCTGCTGGCATTTCTCTCAGATCCATCAGAGGCAGAGCTGCATTTGGAAGCTGCCAGCAAGCAACAAGATCTGAGAAGCAACTACTAAAGTGCTTTCCTGTGGGCGTGAAAGGAAGTTTCAGGAGAAATGGAAGACTGCAGATCCTCACACCTTTGATTTCTTTCAGTATAAAGGATGGTGGTACCCTTTATACTAGCTATTCTCCAGGCCTGACTTGCCCTTAACAGTCTTCACTAGCCCTCTGCTGTGGCCATCAGGAGAGCCAGGATGCTTACTGCACAAATAGGGTTATAGGGCTAACTGATGATGGATGTTCTTCATCCAAATGCATATTGTATTTACAGTCATAGAACCTCACACTGGTTTGGCTTGGAAGAGACCTTAAAGCTCATCCAGTTCCAACCCCCTGCCTTGGGCAGTGGCACCTTCTACTACACCAAGTTGCTCCAGTCTCTGTCCAGCATAGCCTTGAACACTGCCAGGTATGGGGAATGCTGCAGGCTGCGTTATCACTGTGACTTCTTCTTGTGTGTTCTTTTTAAGCTTTTATCTTGTAGGCTGCTTGTTCAGTGAAGTATCAGTGAAACCAAGACAGGGTTATCTGCAATTTAGTTTGCCTCCAGCCTTATGGTGTTTCACCTCCAGGTACATGGGTTGTATCTTGCCCCTTCAGAATTTCACTTACCTGGCATTACAGCCTTATAAGTTTGTTGCCAGATTAGTGCTTAATTGGCTGCAAGGGGCAAATTCAGTCCCACTTCTCAGGTGCTGAGGGGGCTGTTGACCCACCAACCCTCAGACCTATTTCATGCAGCTGAACTGTTCTGCTTGCTCCAGAATCTATGAAATCTTGTCTTCCACTTTGCAGCTTGTCCTTAAGAAGATAAGGAAGTACCACAGCCTCTGCACCCTGAAAGGTAAGTGGATGGAACCCCAAAGAATAATAAAGATTGAAAAGAAGTATCATACATATGTCTCAGGGGAGGCAGGAGGTGGTACAGGAAATGTTACAAGGGAGACCTTGTAACAGTCTTCCAATACCTAAAGGTACTGGCCTATGAAAAGGGCCTACATGAAATCTGGAGAGGGTCTTTTGACAAGGGCCTGTAGGGACAGGACAAGGGGGAATGGCTTTAACCTGACAGAGGGGAGACTGAGATGAGACATTAGGAAGAAAATCTTCCCTGTGAGGGTGCTGAGGCCCTGGCACAGGGTGCCCAGAGAAGCTGTGGCTGCCCCATCCCTGGCAGTGTTCAAGGCCAGGTTGGACACAGGGGCTTGGAGCAACCTGCTCTAGTGGAAGATGTCCCTGCCTGTAGCAGGGGTTGGAACTGGATAAGGTTTAAGGTCCCTTCCATCCCAAACCACTCTATGATTCTATCAAATATTGTATATTATAATAATAAGTATATTCTAACACTGGTGTACAGGGAATGTGGCTCAGTTACGATGTAAGGAGAGGAGATGTAGTCTTTGGGTTGGATGGTACTTAGCTATCGATGCCTATTAGGTTTTTTCCTTCTTGTGTTACTTGGGGCACGTTAACCAGTGCCAGCTGAGGTATGCTGACAAACTTTTCTTTCCTGCTAAGAACTGGGATTCATTTTGTTTGGCTGATTGATAAGGAGAAAATATGTATCTTTTTATTACTCCTTTTTCACTAACACAAGTGTATGCAAAAGTGTAAATAGTTCACGTGTCACTATGTCGAGGCTGAACCTGTGGAAGGATTCCACGGCAGCTCTTCTAAAACATTGAATATATTGGCTTGCAGTAATAGAAATGGCAAATCTTTATTCCTAGAGCTTGAGGTATGATGCAGCTGGCAGAGCAGGAACACGGATGTTTCTTGCTTTAGGACTCTTTGCCTGTGCGCCACCAGGCGTCAGCAGAACCTAAGAAACGGAAAACCACTGCAGTGGATTTAGGAGGTTTTCATTGGAGTCTCCGTCCTTAAAGGAAAATGTTCGGTGATAATTGAGATAGTTGTTTTCTTTAGAGTCTATGTATTTGCCTGTAAGCGGGATCTGTATCCTTCTCCAGATAATTGCTCTGTTCAAAACCTGTGCAATAGAATCGTTCTTTTTTTCTGTTAGTTTAATATAGGTCTGTTTTTAACAGGTCTAGCAAAAGATATTATGGCTAGATTTCCATTTCCCTGCCTCTGTTTTGGGGAAATCCGTGTTGCTCTGCTGTAAAACTGAGTAGGAATATTACTGATGCTAGGAGGAATTGTATATTTTCCATTATGCTCCTTCGTTAAAAGTATATTGAGCTAACTGGAATGTTTCTATGAATAATTACAGTGAAGTATAATGCATTATTGATTAAAAATCTTTAGAGAAAAATGATCAGAATATCTACCTCCAGACTAATAGCATCTGCTTAACAGAAACTGTCACTGTTCATGGAGCATGTATCATAGAATAGTTTGGGCTGGAAGGGACCTTCAAAGGTCACTTAGTCCGCCCTCCCTGCAATGGGCACAGACATCTTCAACTAGATCAGTGTAGTCCTATGCTGATAGGAAGACTACCTTGAAGAGCAGCACAGTGCATGTTTGCAAGAATAAGCATGCTGACATTAAAAGTGGTACTGGTTATGTTGAACATGGCTTAGGAAAAAGGTTTCAAAACTAGCCCAGAAATTCTGACCACAACCTTTTGACTTCAGCATTGAAACTTCTCTGTTGATGTCTGCATTGGTGTTTAAACTGTGCTCTGTGTTCTTGTGATTTCACTTGTTTCTTCACCTGTGCTGGCACTAGAAACCTTTCACGGTGAATAGGATCTCAGGCCAGGAGAAGCGGTGTTGTTCCTGGTGCAAGTACCACGGCTGCTTAGATTCTGATCTATGCTAGAAAAGGCAGAAAGAATTTGTGTGTATTATTATCCCAGACTGGTTTGTGTTGGAAAGGACCATAAAGCTCATCCAGTTCCAGCCCCCTGCCATGGGCAAGGACACCTTCCACTAGACCAGGTTGCTCCAAGCCCCATCCAGCCTGCCCTTGAATACTGCCAGGGGTGTGGATGGTTGCTTGTGACGGTTGCTGTGTTCTGAACGATGATTTCTCTATTTTTGGCATTGTTAGCAGGTGATTTTTTCCCTAACCTATCTTGACAGCTGTAAAGCAGTCTAAATGCTAATGGAGTTGAAATGCACTAAAAGAACATATTGAGACTACATCAGATGTTAGGAAGCAGTAATTTTTCAAGTATTATAAATACTTATGAGTTCATTTATTATATTTTGAAAGTGAATCTGTTATGAGGTATTTTGACAAAGAGTCCTGTTTGGTATCTCTTCGTAAGCGAGACATATGATTTATTTCCAGAACAGAACTACATTAGCTTAATGGTTCTAATAAACTAATTCAATTTCCATTTCTTTTTATTGGGTAAATAAGCAAATGTGAAAAATTAAGTTTATCTAATTTGTTCCACCATTAATTTTTCAGCTTCTATTTAAGTATTGAGTATTGACAATAGAATCATAGAATAGTTTAGGTTGGAAAGGACCTGAAGACTATCCAGTTGGGCAGAGATGCCTCACGCTAGACCATGTTGCCCAAGACTCCATCCAACCTGGCCTTGAACACTACCATGGATGGAGCATTTACCACTTCTTTGGGCAACCTGTGCCAGTCCCTCACCACCCTCACAGTAAAGAGCTTGATGAAATACATTTGTCTGATTTCTGTTCAGGATGTGTGTGTGTATGGAAGGAAGTAAGTTTTGTCAGTTTCCCAGTGCTTTTTAAGGGGAAAAATATTGATTTTAGGGATACACTGAAAAAAATAAAAATACTCCTGGAGAAAGGAGCAAGCAAGGAATTTGAGGAAGATTTTGAATTACATGTCTGTTTGTTGCTGCTCAGCTTGGACAGCTGGAGAGCTTAAGAAAGCTTCTGTCACCTGGTAATGGTTGTTATGCATTTAACTTGGGTTTTTAGACCTGCATGAATTGTCATTGGATACAGATTTACAGTTTTAGTTCCAGTTTTGAACACTGATGTCAGCTTTCAATATTTTCAATTTAACGTTAGATACAAGCAGGTATGCAAAATCATTATTGATTATTTAAATCTTTTTGGTTTGGTAATTTGATGTATTTTTTCTTAATTAATAGCAAGAAACAGGAAATCAAAGCTGTGAATAGATTGAAGACCTATATTCACGATATTAACTATACTCAGTAGCATGAGCAAAGCAGTTTGATTCTGATAACATTGCCCCTGTTATAGGATATTGTTCAGTGAAGATAATCTCTCTTTGGTCCTGAAGTGACAGCAATAGTGCCATTCACATGGACATATAAAACTTCATCACAATTATTCCTTTCAACCAAAACTAAATCGGTTTCTATTAAACCTGAGGGTGTCTTAACCTAACCAGAGAAATCCTACAAACTGGTCTGTCAATATGTGTGGGGGAATACATCTTTAAAACCCCAAAAGTATGGTAAAGAAATACCTTTCATCCCATTGCCTTTCCTGCAGCATGTGGATCTGTTGGAACAAGCCCAGAGGAGGGCCACGAGAATGATCAGGGGACTGGAGCACCTCCCATATGAAGATGCGAGAAAGTTGGGGCTGTTCAGCCTGGAGAAGGCTGCGTGGAGACCTCATAGCAGCCTTCCAGTATCTGAAGGGGCATATAGGGATGCTGGGGTGGACTCTTCATTAGGGACTGTATAGGGGTAATGGGTTAAACTTAAACAGGGGAAGTTTAGATTGGATATAAGGAGGAAATTCTTTCCTTTAGGGT